TACTTTTTTTTTAAATAAATTCATAGACTTGCATTTAATTTATAATTGTAGGAATTAATTATTTTGTGATTTAAATTTTCTAAAAAAATCAAATATATAGTTCATGTAAATGGAATAAGGGTTCATAATATAAGAACGTAGGATTAGACAATCCTTGAATTGTACTTTTGATTCATAAATGAAATTATGAATTGCATGAACATTGTCTCAAATTTGTAATTAGTTATTATTATGATTTAATTTTGTTCATATTTGCTTAGAATACTTAACCTTGTTAAGCATTTGATTGTTCCAATATGGAAATTTTGGGTTGATAGCATACCCTTGAGTTGTGATCTACCAAACATAGTTTTGTGTTTAGACTTAAGGTTGAACTTTGGCACTTTATCACATAGTTGGTTCATTCACATGTCAATGTGATTGTTCCACACAAGCTAAGGTACACTAATTGTTCCGAAGGATCTATTAGGTCGCGAACTTAGTTCAACTTGTAACTCTAAAGAAAAGTTAAGTGCACACAATGAAATGACAAGGTTCTAGATGAGTCCTAACCTGAGATTTGACGGTTGTCACATATAGCCTATGTTCGGTTAATGGCCCAAAAAGATTAGGTTAATCTTTTCATCAAATCATGTATCAAGCGACGCAAGAAGGAGCGGGAAACTCAAAATTTTCGGGAAAGAAACAAACACAACGCTTCGGTTTCTTCTTCACTGATAAACGCTTCGATTTCTTCTTCACTGATAACTCTTACAAGCATGGGGCATGAATTAAAACTTTCTCTAATCCTTGACAGGCAACAGTATCGTTATTCTTGTTTGTTTTTTTCTAAAGCATCAGTTTCAATTTCAGATGCAATCAACAATCTTACTTTTTTTTTCTTCTCAAAATTCTGAAGGAACAATTTTAGTTTACAAACATAGGTAATTAGCAATATTAGTTGATTTAAGTTCTTACAAAGTTTACAATCGTTCTTCACTTCCTGTTTCTTCTGGAAAATCAGAATTTTAGAAGCTTCAAATTTCTTACTTGCTTGAGGTTTCGAAATTAGAATGTAAGATTAAGGTATTTCTGTTTTTTATATGTCTTTACCTCTTTTTTTTCTTCTTTATTTCTAATTTCTAATATTTTTGTAAGGTAGACTACACTCTAATCAGTAATTTGTTTCCAAAATCGGAGGAACAAGGATATCTGCTTCGAAAATCAGAACTCAGAAGGAACAAGAAATTAAGGTAATCAATTTCTGAATTTTGAAAGTACAAGCAAATCAATTTATGTTTTTTCGCTTTGATAAGTTTTTGATGTGTAAGAAGTAACTCAGTTTGTTTTTTTCCTTCTTTTTGACTCAGTGAATATCAATCCAACTTTGTGGTGTAGAAGTTTTTTATTTCAGATTTTTTTGAAATTTAGAAAATCAAAAGGTATTTTTCTGTTTTTGGATTTCTTTATAAGCAGATCATTGTTCCTTTTTTTTATAATGAAATGTATAATTCTTATTTGAATTTCGATTTTTTTGTACATTTTTTATACCCTTTCTTGTTGAAAGGTCTGAAAATCAGAAGGGAAAGGTAATTTTATGATTTCTTGACTTTTTTTTAATTAAAAGCATATCATTATTCTTTTTTCTTGATAATGAAATATATCTTACTGTTATGATTTTTGATTTTTTTTTATACAGTTTTGATGCCCTTTACTGCTTGAGTTTCAAAATATAGAACCAAGAAGAAATCTACAACTCGTAACAAAGATATTGTTGAAAAGTTTATTTCAACGAATATTAGGAGGATTGTTGTTTTCATGTTGAAGCAAATTTATTTTTTGTGTATTATTTTGAATGGAATTTTAATTCTATATATTTTGCAATAAAAATGAAATTTTTATTTTTTTGCATAAATTTGTTGATCTTTTAAGTTTTAGGGCCTATCTTTTTGTTAATTGCACAGGGCCTCTGAAATCTCGCGGTCGGCCCTGGTTCCAAACCATTTTGAATGTCACGTTATGAAGTCAATGTTAATAGATAACCTTCCTTTATGGTCAAAAGTCATTTGTAGTAATAAATAAAACGTCTTCACATTTCTCTTATTATATGCATATAGATAATTTAATGCATATAATGACTTTAGACCAAAACGTTTATTTATTTATATTAATCATATAAGCTTTAGTTTATTTTATTAATATAAATATATTTTAAATCTAATAACTAGACATATAATATATGTTTAATTAACTTATTGAGTCTTTTTTTATAATGAATAAAGAATTTATCAAAATAATAAAATTTGTATATATAGTATACGAATTCAAAGTATTATCAAATAAATGTTATTTCACGACCTATCCAAATTTATAATCGATGGATTCGTATTTACGAGTATATCAACTCTCGTTTATATTGTTTTGGCTAACAAGTCACCAATATTTGTTTCATAACTTCCTCGTACAAAGTTTGATTCAAACGTTCTTTATATCCACAGGCTTGTGATTATGTATTTCGTTTATATTATTTATCCTAAATAATATATAATTTTTAACGTTTATTATAACCCTATTTATTAAGTTTTTTTAATAAATAAAGAATAAACCCTATTTATTAAGTTTTTTTTAATAAATAAATAAATAATTTTTTACACAAATATTATATACATAATATTTGTCAAATATTCACGCATATAATACATACTCAAATAATTCTCTAACTTATTCTTAAAAGGTTACACAGACGTTATATCGTCGACTGATGTAAATATATATTTTATAATTATGTCAAGCAGGAAACACAAACGTTACCAAAGTAGAAAAAGAAGAAGGTTGTTTCATAACTTGATTGTTGTAATGAGTAAGAAATAAGAAGACCATGAAGTTCCTCGTGATTGAACTTACTAATAATGGGGTGTCATTTCAATCACAGATTCCTACGTCAGCCCCTCCATGCGAGTAGTAGTTAATTATTTAACTGTATTTTGAATTGTTTTTATTTATTTTTTGACAGGAAGTTACAAGTATTGATTCCAGAAAAAAGGTGACACAAAGTGATACAAACTAGCATGAAGTTTGGGGAATAGGTTACACTATAATAAAGTTTCAAGTTTTATTTTTTACTTTTATTAGTTATTTTTATGGTTAGTGTGTACTTTGTTCCACATTTAGACTTATTTGACATTTAAGTAGACATTTGATTCAATTGAGTTTTTCTTATTTTCCATGGACGACAATATAATTAGTTTTATATTTTATATTTTAGCAAAAAATGTGTCTATATAGTAACATGAATTCTAGAATTGTATGGATATTTATGACATTACAAAATATTTTCATGTACTGGGCAAATAATAAGTGCCATTAAAAGTTGCATAAACTCTAGAACCACATGAGTAATTATCGACACAAAATATGCCTCACAAAAGACTTTTTGTCTATTGTTACAAATAAAACAGTATCACTAAAGACCTAAAAACCTACAGCGGCAAAACCAAAAAGTGTCATTAAAGAGTTTTAGTGGGAGCCCTTATAGTGATACTTTGTAATTGTGTCACTAATTCTCTGAGAGACCTTTAGTGGCACTTTTTAAGTATTTAGTGGCACTTCTTGTGTGCCATTAAGTGACATATTATTTGTAATGAGTCCTCCGAGTTATTCTAGCTTCATCTTGGACTTCACTTTTGGATGCTTCACATTTTTAGTAGGTTATTCGTTTGAAGAATTTTGGGTGTATTATGATTCGAGAACTAGAGATGTTTCAGACTTTTTAAAGCCGAAGTGTTTTTTCTGATTGGATCTTCTACTTGATCATTGTGTTTGTGATGAGTTTGAAGATTTGGATCTTATTTTTCTGCCTTAAGGGTGATGACCTTGAAGCCGAAGACCTTTATTGATTAGAGATTCATGGTCAGCTTCATAGATCACAAGACACTTAAGAGTTTCAGAGACATTTCAGCATTTGGTTCTCATTATGTTTCATTTTTATTACCACACTTGCTAGTCGGTTACTGTGTATTTTAGTCTTTTATCATAGTATTTGTATCTCCCATCATTTGCGAACATTTAGGGAGAGGTTGTTGGAGCATGAAAATGCTCTACAAATTATGAGTGATAAGTTAGGTTATTTTATTTCTCTTTATTGTATTGTAAGGTTCATCTCTCTATAAATAAAGAGGGGGTGGTCATTGTATTGCAAGTGCACCAAAAATATAGTTCTCTAGTGAGAGAGAGTGTGGTGGGATTTCTCCCACCAAGTGTTCTTGTATTGTCATATTTTATTACTCTTTTCTAGTAAAAATTATTGGATTACTCATCTCTTTTGTGTTTTTCATATTTTTATTATCGTTAAATCTCAAGATGTTCTTATTCCGCACAAACCGGTCGTTAAAATGGGCAACTACACATCTTGTATCTTCTGGATCATTCTTGGTCGCTCCATATTTTTATGGGGACTTCCATAATTTTCTAGCATCTTGCAGGGTCTCGTACCGTGTTCTCGATCTCTCCAAAGACTCCTCAAGGATACTTGATCGTTCCGGAGCTCTTTAGACGATCCTGGAATTTTCCAAAAACTTTGTCCGTGACAAAAGGCTGCAATACCACATGCATCAAACTAGATGGGAAAGACTAGCTACGGGTGCAAAGAAATATGTATTTTTTATACATTTAGTTCCATACCTAAAATAGTTTTTTGTTATTTTATGTTTTAACAGTCCTAATTGGTAGCTTTTAAAAAAATAAATATAAATAAAACAGCAGTTTACAAAATATAAGCCTAAAAATATAATGGCATCGTGATATTTTCCCTTTTAATAACAAGTATATTTTTTTGCTATTTGTGACACTTATATTACCCATTGCAATTGTAGTTGTTTACACTTGTACCCTTGACATTTATCTATGCCCTGTGGGCAATACATTACAATGTTAAATAGCCATTTGGACTTTTATTTCAACAATCAAAACATAGATGATCGAAAATCGAGCAACACAATGCACACAACATGAGCAATAAGTTAAGCTTCTGAAATTCGATAAGAAAAATAAAAATTAGATTTATTTTTGGGGCTCTTTAATTTGAATAGATGCTTTTGACAAGCTTGCTTCCAGTTCATTCAATTCATCCATATCCAGATCATCATCTTCTTCTTCGTCAATATCAGCCACGCTTGTTGATGTGCTTGGTCCAGCTGTAGAAGTACCATTTTGTCCCTGCAATCAAAGGTTAACACATGGTCAGGACAAGGGCATTCAAGTCTTTTCACAAGGATACATGTTTAATTGGGACTTGAGAGTATACCTTATCAGGTTCTTCTTCTCGGTGATACTTCTCATACGCCTCAGCATCATCCACAAACACACTAGCATCAGATAGAAACAACTCGCGACCACTGTCAAAGTAAGGGCAAAATGGTCATTTTACACACACTTAACACCCATCAATATATGGTGTCAGCAACCAAAAGGGTTATATATATCATACTACCAAAGGGCAAAAACAAAGAAAAAGGTTAAAAAGATTCCTTTTTGAACCAAACCCAAAAGAAAAGACTATAACATAGGGGCAAAAATGTAATTATATGCGGTAACAAACCTCATTCGGTCATTTTTAGCCCTCTCTGCTCTTTGAGCAGCCAAACCAGCATCTCTTTCTTCCACCTTCTTCCTCTTCCACTCCATAAATAGTTCAGTAGTCATTGGAGTTGTGGTTTTCACTTTTGCACGCTAAAAAAAATCAAATAAACATTTAAGTAACTAAAAATATACACAAATATATATAGTTACTATCAATGTTATTGAACTTTTGATAAAAAGATGAATAGTTACACGAAAATATACAACAAAAAATACAAACCTGATCTTCAATTTCATCCTCAATAGCTAGCTTGTTGGATTCTTCTTCCAAAAGTGCTTTCATTTGTGACTTAAGAATGTAACCTGGAGGAAGAGCATGCCTATAATGACACTCTTTGTTACCATTGGGACAAACCCAAAACCATCCATATTGTTTCTTCTCCACTGCTTCTAGAAAATGCTTGCAAACCTACTCATGAATTCATAAAAAGTTAATTATCATAACTTCATGGCTAATGCCAAGAAATTTAGATACATAGATATGAAAACTCATCAACTTTGGTGACTAAAAAGGTCAAACAATGTGAGGATTATCATTATGGTTGTGAAAAGGGTTCATAATGTTTATAGTTTCTGTTAGTTTAAGAGATAGAATCAATATTTATCACTGTAAGATAGAAAAAATGGCACCTGACAAAAGGCACCAATGCCTTTGATTCATACAACTCTCCTGAAACATTGGCAAAGATAAAGTAGGATTTGATTTAGATTTTAGAGGTTGGAGCATGAATAATATTAACATTGTTTATGGGTTTATGTTTATTTTATTTTTATACAGACAGTTGGAGCAGAGTATGAACAGATGGAATCATGAATAATATCAACATTCAACATGGTTGGAAAAAGTTTAAAGAGATTAAGAGAGCATACAATGTCAGTTGGTTTATTCTGGTTATACTCTTTCCCTTTTGATTCCACAACCTTTTCCAATGTCTCTTGATCCCAATCCTCCATTGTTCCTAAAAGCATATTGCAGATCAAAGAAATACTTATATTCCATATCAAGTCATCACAAGAAAGTAATAGGGGTAAATTCAATAACTTGAAGCAAAAAATACCTTCATCACGCTTATCACTGAAGATGTCAATCTTCTCACCCTTCCTCTGTACATTCAGATCATGAGAAAACTTGCATTTGAATCCTTTTGCACACTGACCAGCTTTAAAGAATTCACACAATATAGACTTCGGATCCACCCCTGACCAAAGCAATTCGAATCCAAGATTGATCAATAAAACTATGATCTGACCTAATAAAAATATCAAATTGCTATAAATTTTGGAGTAAATCAAAAACCTACCAAGAGGTACTTTCGGTTGAACAACAGCAATCTTAAACAAATCATTTAATTCCTTCTCTCTAGCCTTCTCTTCCTCTTTCTTTTTCTGTAAAATGGAAAATTAAAATTAATCAACACTTAATTGAAATCAGCTAATCCCTCGATATCCACTAAAATCGAAACAGCCAATTGAAATAGATACCTTAGCAGCCAGTTTGGAAGCATCGGGTTTAGGCTGTACGTTCTGTTGAAGTGATTGCACATACTTCTGAACATTCTTGCTCTTGTTCTTGTTCTTAAGTCCAAATGTTTTGTCTTCCACAATCTTCTGCTTCTTCGCTAATTCCGCTTTTGATTGTTTCGGAGGCATCCTTAATACAGAACAAATTCGAACTTTGAATATCCTAATATTGTGTTCGTACGAGAATATTGATCGAATTGATTACACAAACTACCGATCAACTTATAATAATCGATCATTCTAGGGTTTTATATTATCTCACAGTAGAACTAAAAAGATATATAATCGGAGTGTGATTCATGTTGTGTCGAATTAATTAGAAAGTAGTAAAGTAGTCCCTGTATTATTTTAAAAAGTGCATACTTTGCATACTGTTTAAAAATTTTACAAGTTTAGGACTTTCTTGGAAACATTTTAAATTTCAGTCCATACAACGATGTCGTTTCGTCTGGCAAATCCACGATGCAAGAGATAAGGTAATAAGTTGTTGCCACTACAAAAATCAACACCTCCATCTTCTTCCCCAATCCATAGAAAAATGGAAGCAACCCTTTTCACCCTCCCGTCCTCCAAATTCCCACCACCGGCTTCCACCGCCGTATCCCTGAAAACCCATTTCCACAACCCACTTCTCCTCCATTCCACCACCACTTCCCACCGTAAACCCAACCGCGTACCCCTCACAATCCGCTCCGCAATCAGCCGTACAAAGAAAGAAGAAACGATCGAAACAGTCAAAGAACAGCTCCAAGACTGCTACCTCATCGCCGGCATCAAATACCAAGGTTTCACCGTCCAACAATTCCAGCAGCTCCGTACAACCCTCCCGGAAACCACCAAACTCATAGTCGCAAAGAACACATTGGTCTTGAAAGCAATTGAAGGCACGCCATGGGAAGCATTGAAGCCGTGTATGAAGGGAATGAATGCGTGGATGTTTGTTCACAGCGAGGAGATTCCGGCTGCTATTAAACCCTACCGGACTTTTCAGAAAGAGAAGAAGCTAGAAGAGAATGATTTCAGTGGAGCGGTTTTTGAAGGGAAGTATTATCCACCGGAGGAGTTTAAGGCGTTGGAGACTATGCCGACGAGGGCGGAGGTTTATGCGAACTTGTTGGGTTCTTTGAAGGGCCCTGCGACGTCGGTGGTGGGGACTTTGCAAGCTCCGGCGAGGAACTTAATTATGACATTGAAGGCGTATGTGAAGAAATTGGAAGAAGAGAGTGGTGCAGAGCAATGATAAGGCTCTCATGTTACAAATCTGTAAGTTTTTTGTGCAATTTTTTTTGAGTTTAAATCGAATTTCAGGGTTATCATGTAGAATCTTGTATAATCTAATGCTACAGTCATATATCACGACTATGAAAGTTACAATTTCATGATCTCTTTTCTTTAAACTGATCTTCTGCTATAAGAACTTGAATGTAACTATGTAAGCATATTGGTGATCACTGTGTTAGATCCAAAGATGATCTTGTGAGCATTTTATGTTGGTATTGTAAAGTGGTTTTAAGATCTAGAAGCCCTCTGTTGTTAGTTTAAACTGATGATTTTGGATTAAATTTGGACCTTTTTGGATTAAATAAGCATATTGGTGATCACCGTAGTGTTGGTCATTGATTTTAGATCAGATTTTGACCTTATAGGTGTTGTGTTTTTGGCTTAAACTGGTTTTCTAGCATAAAGAGTAGAGATTTGAGATCAAAATTAGACATTTCGGGTGTCACTAACAAAAATCCAACTTCTAAAACAATAGCAATGTTCTTGTCATTAGATATTGGATTATGGCAACAGAGTTATATATTTGAACAAGAAAGTTCACATCGATTTTGTCTTGCAAGATTTTGGGAATTGACTTCCAAAGTCACATACAAACAGAATTCCATCATAAGCAAACCCGAATCTGAGAATCTGGATGATTAGAATGGATTTTGAATTGAAATCGAGTTAGAGTTGCATACAATATGTCATATAATATTACTGATTGAAAAACAAAAATGAATTTGTTTTTCAAGTTAGCAATAAATTACAAGAAATATTAAAGGGTTTTTACCATCTTATATGGGATCATGTTGTACATACACATCATTTTGTTGCAAAATAAACATATTCAAATACCATCTTAAATGTCGTTTCTTAGATCACATATTCAAATACCAATCATATTTAAATCCAAGATTAATATTGTTCTGTTAAAAGTTTGGTTATCGGCTTAAAATCTTCTTGTGAATTCACTAATGTCCTAAAAATCGAATTCAGGATGACCAAACCAAACCGATTAGAATTTATTTTTTCCTTTTAATTTTGTAACTCTTGAATTAGCTTTATCAGTTTTTAGTTTGAGTTGAGATCTATTCAAATAAAGGAATCTAAACTAAAATAACATAATTTAACCGATAGGCACTCTAGTTGAAAACATTGTCTTGGCAAACTTTCTATTCGTTAATTAACAACAATATAACATCAATTCCATATTTTTGATAAAACGGTGGTAGGAATAGTATACATCCAGCTAGAAAATGAGTGTGCCAAAATAAGGGTCGGTTAAAAAGACACGTTATTTTATCAAATAGACATTTTATTTAGTTTTTAAAATATTTTTATTAGTTGAAATTGTATTGTTTTCTGAAAAAGTTAGCTATAAGTAGTTGACTTTTGATAAAGATGTCAATGAATGTTTAAAAGGTATCAATTTAACAGCATCCCAAAATAGAGATGTTAGTGTGGGAACTCATCATCCTACACTATGTGTGTTTCTTATGTCTTTCTAGATTCTTAAAGACCATACATGGACACTAGAAAAGCTAAGAGGCTAATGGTAAGTGCAAATGATAAAACTAATATCAATGAATGTTTTAGATTTGTGGATCAAAGATCATATTAAACTGGGAAAATTGCAAACAGAGTCAAAATTGTTTTTCAATCTGTCTAACAAAATTCTTGAAAAAGAGTCGAAACTATTGCTTACTAAAAGCCTTTTCAATGAATGGAATTGGTTACGTAGTGAACAGAAAGTTGACCTTTGACTTTTGGAATGACATCCCAATCAAGATCAGTCTCAAAGCATCTTGTTAACCCATTGAGTTGATCTTTAAAATTACATATATTCTCCTTTTTCCACTCTTATCTTGCTTCTTTACCTCTTTGTTCATTCTTTTGTTCTTTGGTGACCCTCTAAAACACTTTTGTGCATGAATTTCCTCTTTAATGAGTGTTTCCAATTCCTTAGCCTCCAGCCTTGTAAATTGCTTCTTTTTCCTTGAGAATGTTTTTGCCGCTGCAAAAATGAAATATAAACAAATTAAGTATAATTTATAAAAAATAATGACTAATTGTAGCTAAAAACACAAATATATCGCCTAAGATATATGACTAAATATGGCGATATCAAAACCCGAGAACTTTTACTCACATTAAAAAAGATGTGAACTGGTTTAAGTTTTCGTTTGTCACTTTGGGATGTATGGTAAGATAGTTTTCTAAGTTTGTTTAGGCTATGGACATGTTACCAAGACCTAGTGACTAATCTAACAACACAAATACAAAATGAAAATGAAATCCACGCACTTAATTAATAGACGAAATGTTCTAGAATTTTTAGTCTTAGTCCATAGTCATTCTTCATTTTCTGAACACGCATTTTGCATATTCCAACTTAAAAATGTATTAGATAAAAAAAAAATCAAACTAACCTAGTTCGTAGAATACATGTGTTTATTCAAAATAAACTTCAAAGTTTAACTTCAAAAAAAATATATTGAATTGACCGGAATGTCATTATGGTATGAGGTATGTTCCATTTAAATAGGAGGGGTCCACACATATAGATTTGACCCGTTTTCTTTGGGTCCGAAATAACTCATTTTAGAGTAGTTGGTTAGTTTTCAAGATTGTGAAAAAGTTTATTTTTTTTTTGTTAAAACTAAATAAAAAAAATTGGTTAGTTTAAGCAATATAATACAACATGATACCTAAGACTCTAAGAGTTGTTGACAAATTGGTGAAAAAATAGGGTGTGTGTCCGGCGAGGTACCGTCGACAACACCATTTCAACAAGGGCAAAAAGATGAGGGTTGAGTGGACTCCCTCTCTTTTTTTCTCTCCTCTCAAGTTGTACCTATGCATTAAAACTCATACACAATGTATGTGTTTAGAGACATGAATTTTCATGTGTTATGGGTTGGAAGAGATGAAAATGAAAGAAAATATAAAACATTGATATCGCACTAGGTGGCATGTTGGTTGGTTGGGATGGATGGTCCATCAATAATGTTGGTGTGAGTGGTGTTGTGGATGTCGAGTTCCACTTCAGTCTTCTCTCTTGCCAAGTCTTTGTCGAGGGGAGAGCAAGGCAAAAGAATATCGATAAGGGCACAAAATTTGACATGTCGAGCATCCAACATGGTGTTTGACAAGCCACACTAGTTTTGTCGAGCTCCCAACCCACTCCGAGTAGACTAATAGTCTACGGGTAATGAGTAAAAGTGTAATAATGCATTGTGATTTTTTTTTTTTTTTTTTGGAAATGGCGGAATTATATTAAAAATCACTGCCTAAAAGGCAAAGGCAGGGCAAAGAAAAATTACAAGATGTTGAAAGGACACCAATCATCATTTAAAATATAATTTCTGTATTCTTCTTTATGTTTTACCCAACTAAACGATGATATTATCCGTAAATAAATAAATTGGACCAATGCACCGTGATTTCCCTTTCAAAGTATTGAAAGCACGTTGTTTTGGGCACCGTTGTTCGGTATGTCATGACGTTGGCACCGATTGATTTCCAAAGACAAAGACAGCTGACAATCCCCTTAATTAGATTTACACACAGTTTGTGCGTGTTTTATACATCCATGGCGGTTCTTAGTCGTCTGCTGAGAGCTAGAACGACCACTTCCTACACAATTCTTCGCTTTTCCTCTCCCTATTCTACATCATCATCCTCGGAAATTGGTGTGTTAGCGCCCACGATAGCTTCTAATAAGAGTAGTGACAGAAGGAATGTGCAGTGGGTGTTTCTCGGCTGCCCTGGCGTCGGAAAGGGCACCTACGCCAGCCGCCTCTCCAAACTCCTCGATGTTCCTCATATCGCCACCGGTGATCTCGTTCGCGACGAGCTCTCCTCCAAAGGCCCCCTTTGTTCTCAGGTAACTAGACAATTCAATTAACCCCAATTTTACTATCATTTTAAATTCTTGATCAACCTAGGTTATTAAGGAGATCTGTAGAAAACTAAGTATTCCTTTTAATTTCACTCTACAGCTTACAGAGATTGTTAACCAAGGGAAGCTAGTTCCAGATGAGATCATAATTAATCTATTGTCCCATCGTCTTCAAATTGGGGAAGAAGCCAAAGGCGAATCAGGTTTCATACTTGATGGATTTCCCCGAACCATAAGACAAGCAGTGAGCATTTTCGTTTTTCATTCTACTTTCTTTTCATCTTCTTTCTCTTCAATTTGCTCTCATTTACATAAAATCTAATTTCAGGAAATTCTTGAGGGAGTAACAAACATTGATTTAGTAATCAATCTGAAGCTCAGGGAAGAAGCATTGCTTGCAAAATGCCTAGGGAGAAGAACTTGCAGCCAATGTGGTGGGAACTATAATGTAGCTTGCATTGACATTAAAGCTGATCATGGAAACCCTGCAATGTACATGCCTCCCCTTCTTCCACCTCCACATTGTGCATCAAAACTTATCACCCGATCTGATGACACTGAACATGTTGTAAAAGAACGTCTTCGCATCTACCATGAGAAGGTATGTGTGTTTCATCTTTATGCAATACACATCAAAGTTGCTATTATGTGTAAAAACTGATGAAATTATGTTACAATTTCTTGCATTGAACCCTTAATTTTTATAATTACAGAGTCAGCCAGTGGAAGAGTTTTATAGGATCAGAGGAAAGTTGTTGGAGTTTGATCTTCCGGGAGGAATCCCGGAATCATGGACAAAACTGCTTCAAGCTCTAAATCTGGATGACCATGAAGATACAAGATCTGCAGCAGCATGAATTTGGTAGGGGTAAGTTGGTCATTCTTTACATTGTAAAATGAATAATTAGGAAATTTATTCTTTATACAAGAAGCCTAAGATGATTCAGACTTGGATTTGGATTTTGAAGATGAATGGAAATTGTTCATCTTACTTGAAAGTAGTAGTAAGGTTGATGTAAAATATTCTAATAATCCCAAAATGATTATGGGATAGATAATCATAAAAGAATTGTGGATTTAAGATAATGATGAACAACATGTATGTTAGGATTTCAATTTTTGTTGTTTTGATGCACTTACTAGTATTATTATATATGTGATTGACTGATTGTTAATTCAGTTTGGTATAATGGAATCGAACCTCTATGGCTACAGGAACTGAGTAGTATAAGTCAACGAATTACTCATCACATCTTTAACATGAGGCTAAGCCTCGTGCACTAGAGTCACTGCAGGGCCTAAGTAGCCGTATGATTTAAAGATTATATGAATGAAAGTAATTTATAATTATCATTTCATTCCATAAGAATAAGGAAAAAATAAAAATAAACGTTCTCTCAAATCAGCTGTTCTATGCCAAATAACTAGCCCATACATAGCATGTTAAAAATAACATGATTTCACATAAATGGAACAAAAATAAAACTTTGGGTAGTTTAACTTCTTTGAAAAACGTTTAAGATACTTAAGAAGTGGAACAATGGTGACTAAATAATGATATTTTTCGTTTTGGAAGTTCATAAAATTTGAATTTGTTCGACCAACATTTTGTTTAGTTTTGGTACCATCGGATTACTCTAGATAAAACATTTTTGTAGGATGAGAAGACCTCTCAGAACCGAACCGAGTAGGTTCACTTATTCGGTTCTTGGATCTTGACTTTTCCATTTTTTGGTTTTCGGTTCCGGTTCCGGACACCTATGAGTGAGCAAACTACTCGTTGGAATCAGTTGGGAACCGAAATATGTAATTATGTTTTGTTTTCGGTTCTTCAAAGTATTAATAAATTTGTTTTTTGGTTTTACTGTCGTGTTCCGAAACTAATCTCACCCTTATTTATTTATTTATTTATTTGAGAGAGAGAGAGAGAGAGAGATAACAAGGGATGTTTTTAGAATAAACAGAAAAATATATATCTTTTTTTTCTAAAGATGAGTTTCAAGAGATATTTTACATATAGAATATATTTCAAACATTGTTGTGTTTGAAGACTAGGACTAGAATTGATGTCAGCGAGACAAAAACTGTCTAAGATTATGTTTGATGTCAACGAGATTGGAATTGTTTGACGTCAACGAGATCGGAACTGGAATTGATGTGACAAAAAAAAACTAGCTGATAGCTAAAAAAACTAGTGGTAGTTATATGAAAAACTAGTGTTATATAAAAAACTAGCTGATAGTTGGAAAAACAGTTGATAAAAAAAATAATGTTTGGTAAAACTAATTGATAAGCTGCCTAAAATATATAAAATAATATAAAAAAAACATTTAGAAGAAAATGAGTTGTTTTTTGTAGTGGAAAAAAAATCAATAAGTTGTTTTTTAAAAAGAATTTGTTTTAGTTTATATATGTTTTAAGGGATATTTCATATTTGTCTTTTACAACCCAAAAAATAAATTTTGAAAAATTAAAAAATCGAACTTATTGAAATCTCCTTTTTGAAATGTTAAAGAGAAACTATTTTAAAAAATTTCGGGGGTGTTTGGCAAAAAAAACTTATTGCTTATTAGCTTATTAGCTTATAAGTTAATAAGTAAGTGTATGGTAACTTATGAAAAAATGACTTATTAGAAGTTCCCCACCGGAATAAATTATTTTCATCCAAACACTTTTTTTACTTATAGTGGTGTGGAACCTAATAAGTTGTTTTAAAAAGCTTAGCCAAACACCCCCTTCATATTGTCAAACACTTTTTTTGATTTATTGACTTCTCAAAAAACCAATAAACACTTTTTTTGATTTATTGACTTCTCAAAAAACCAATAAGTTGTTTTTAAATAAAATCTCATATACCTTAACTTATAAGTTACTTTTTTTTTTGTTTGTCAAACATAACAACTTAAAAAATTCGAAAAATAATCTAGTTTATCAAGTAGTTATAGCATGTCAAACACAGTTTAAATAGAATCTTAAGTGAAAACCGAAAGTCGGATAAACTGTATAATAAATGTTATATGGTTACAATACCCTGATTCCCAACTTTTCATTTCTTTTAATCTTAATGAACAATTAAAAAAAAAAAAACAATATATATGTGTGAAAAATAATACGAACAAAATGCTACTAGCGTATACTTGTGAAACAAATAATATATATTATATTCAAGTGTTCCAATGGTCAAACCCATAGCAATAGTACAACTTTTACTGCATGAGGTACAAGTCAATATAGCATAATAGTGCTACATCACATCAACCCAAGGACACCTCCTCCATTTGAAGACCATTGCTCTTTAATTCATCACTAGACTTTACATGGTTTGCTTCTTCACCCAACTTTTCCTGTAATTTTCAAGACAAGTTAACATTGTGAAATCTACTTTTTTATTTTTTTTATCTCTTTCTATAAATAAAAGTTCAAAAAAGTTGCATTCTACTTGCTGCAAGGGTAAAAATGGAATGAAATATCATAATAATAATAATAATAATAATAATAATAATAATAATAATAATAATAGTAAGTAATAACAGTAACAAACCTTGTTTTTATCCCGCCACCCAAGTCCAAAAAGACTCATCTTTCTTGAAGGTTCTTGATTTGTTGATCTAGAGAACAAAGAGATGTTATTCAGATAATAATAAAAATGAAAGTACAATGCTATGGTTATTTACTTTTTTACCCTTATATGAAATGAAAGGAGTAGGAGTATACCTTGGGGAAGGCTGAGCTTTATGTTGACCAGATTGATATTGCAAGGTAGCCTCCAACATTGACTCTGCCATAACAAGTCTCTCCTCCATTTCACCAAGTAAAGTAGTTGCTGCTTCATATTTTTCCTGAATAATATTATATATAAACTTAAAAAAATTACGTCCTTTTTCGTCATTTAACATTTTTCATTTTGTGGAAGAAACCTGAAGGACTTGAGCTGCATATCTTTGGGCTGCTGCATCTTGCTCAGCATATACACGAGCATCCTCAGTCACCCTTTGTTCTTGCTCTACTCTCATCAAAACCTTCAAAAAAAATAATAATAAAAAAAACAAAATTAATATATTATATAAGGGCCCCACAGTTGTCACTTTTTATTTAAAGATTAAATTAAAACCTGAAGCATTGCATTCTCCTGTTCTTGTTTGCAAGCAAGAGCTTGGTGTAACTCTGCTACTTCTCGCGTTAACTGTTCAACCTAAATATCATTGTAAAATATTTTTTTTAGTAATATTTCTAATTATAGTATATAAAAAAATCAATGAAAATAAAATAGAGCAACAGAAGCAACCTTTGCACTTAATTCTCTTCTGTTATCTTCCTTCACCATTTCCATTAAAGCAGTTTCCAACTCATCAGCTCTAGAAATTTAAAAATAAAACATTATGTTTTTATTTTAAAAAATTAATTAATTAATTAATCTATTAACCTGAGTGTTGCTGATCGTTTTTCCTCTAGGATCGTGCATAACTCATTCTTCAGCCACAAAATCTTTAAAAAAAAAATTAAAAATTAAAATAAAACAGAAGTACATTGCTATTTCTTGCCTAATGGAAAATGAAAGAACCTGTTCTTGAAGATCTGGAAGGGAATTAATCTCCACATCCTCTGAAACAGCCAGATAAAGTTCATCTCCATTAGAAGATTCGGAACTCATCCTTGATAATACACCGTTTGATAATTTTACCCCTGGTTTATTTTCTTTCAACATAACAAGTCCTTTTGATCTTTCCTCAAGTGCAGCTTCTACAGATGGCCTGTGTTTATTTCTTAAAGCTTGTAATCTTGATTCATCTACATTTTGATAACCCATGCAAGCAGTCAACACAAGTTGACTACTGTCAAAAGTTGATCCAGCTAATGACTGAAGCAATGTGATGGCATCTCCTGCGTCTTTTGTTGTCACTAATGCGGGTCCTACACAATGCTGAATCAACATAAATTATATGCAACAAAAAAAAAAACCTAAAATTTAAAAGTTGATATCCTTGAGAATAAGAGACAAGAGTCATGCAAAAGAGAAAGAAAGAAAGGCAGATACCATACAACTCCATCAAAGCTAAAGCTGTTTGAAACAACATGACACGATTTCCTTGAAATAGAAGCACATCCCACACTCTAAGAACTAAAAAAAACAACCAATAATGAGAATAAATCAATGAAAAGAAAAGAAAAGATGCTGTTATTTATTGCATTTAATCAGAAATATAAATGAAATTTAGGTGATTAAACATAGAAACTAACCACTTTCCCAAGGAAGCATGTTCATAAATATTGAAAGGAACCATGGTCCAGAGACCCAGGCTACCTGAACTCCAAGGTAATCTAGATGATTCACTGCATCAGATAATTAGGTGTCAGAATCAATCACAAAAAAATAAAAAATAAATATTAGGATTATGTTTATGTTTATGTTTATGTCAATGATAAATAAAAAAACAAACCCAGTTTGGGAAACCTCTCACGCACCAACTCCTCAAAGACAAGCTGATCAACCTGACAATAGCAACATTGATTACACTATATAAAATGCTATTAAAATGAACATAACTTGATTGATTTAGGTAGTGTGATTAAAATATTAAAATATTAAAATAACTATACCTGTGACTCTATCATTTCTTCTGAATAATACCCTTCAAAGTAATCATCAAGAATTCCCATCAATGCCCTGATATCAACAACATATTATTCAGGAAACCTTAAAAGATGAAAAATCTGATCAAGATTTATCAAAATTCAAACCCACCAAAAGGCATTTTCTTCAGGCATCAACAGTAGTAACAATCCAGCAAAAAAATTCATAGCCTACATGAGATCCAACAATTAACCATTAACAATTAACAATAATATTTATTGTTGTAAATAATAATAATATTTATTTTATATGTACCTGACAATAGCCAACAGAGGGGTTATGTCTAGCATAAGCAGTGAGTAAACGTCTCAAAGCATTCCTCCCATCATCATCCAAAGCAGGATGACCTGGAAATGTCCGAGGTAAATCCTGCATATGAACAAAAGTACATATGATTTAGGAATTAGGAGTGTTAGTAATGATAATGTTATTTATAATCTAAGAACTCAAGTTGATTTACACAATCACCTTCTCAATCTGCCCTTTCCATTTCTCAGGTATGCATATTACAGATTCGACACTTGATGTCTTACTTCCATTGTCTGTGTGTGAAATCTGATTTTCTATAATGTTATCATTCTTTGTATCAGGATCCAACAGGTTTTGATAGTATTTTTCAATGCGACGTGCCTTTACACCCACAAAAGCTTGCCAAAGCTGCAATAAATGGTGGATAGTGAGCAAATCCAGTTTTAAAAGTGATGAATACAGGAATAGAAGCAATGCAATTGCAAATGTAGCCTTACTTACCTCTCCTCTAAGAGCCATTGGGACTCCTCCCTGGACAAGGCATTCCAACTCTTCTTTCCATGGAATTGATGATTCCATAGAGGCATTTACACTTGAAGGGAGTTGTGGAGTTGGGTCTGATTCTGACCTGTCCATATCGTAAAACTCTTCTTCAGAGTCATCTTCAATGCTTGGTTTCACAGGTATGGAAGCTTCAAACAAAGCAGGGCTTTTGGTTTCATCAAGTTTCTTGGTTTTAGCAACAGCTATCTTCTGCCTAACACGGGCATTCATTATATCTTCAATGGCTCTAAGGGATGGTCTAATGTGAGCCCATATCTGTGCTTGATGAGTTGCAGGCGCCTCTTCCTTTTGAGCATCATCATTCCCTTCTGTGGCCTTATCAGAGCTATCAACTGTTTCCTGTCCAGAAGCCTGAGCAGACTCTGATTGTCGTTCAAGGAAGTCCTTCCACCTGTCGGATCGTTCCTCTTCTTCCTCCTAAATCCATGAAAAATGTACAGATGTGTTTTTTACAGAATAAACCAAATGAAGTTCCCATTAGAAAGTGAAAGGTAGATAAGAGAGGAGATGGAGAGAGGAGTACCTTGTAAATGCTTGAATATTCACGGTATCTCTGTACATGTTGAGGTCTCACAGCAAAACCATAAGCATCTCTGTCGTATCATCAACATTTATCACAAAGTTAATAAGTGAAATCAACAACGATCCAGTTAACTCGTTTACAAATATCTTCCGATAAATCACAGTCTCAGCATTAAAATTCAAATTCTCGGAGTTACCAATGTGGCATTAAGAAAACTGACATGATTAATGTTTTACACGATCAATACCACAAAGGAACCAGAAAAAAAACAAACAAATATCCTGATTGCAAGTCACAATGGTGCTTGATATAGATCCAGTGACATAGACAGAGTAAGCGAGTAAAATACGGTGCAAGGCCTTAATGAAACGGATGTCAAAGTGATAAGATAGGCGTAATTGTACCTCTTATGTTCGAGAGCGACAATAGGAGAATTCAAAATTGGTGATTTGGCCTTCATTTTCGGATTCTGTAATGCTATCGATCTAGTATCTAGTCCGCACTACAAGCGTCTCAACCCCTTGATTTTCTGCTAAAAATGAAACGATGAAAAAGAGAGAAAGCTGTGTGTAAGTATGTGCGAGTGAGTGACTCTGCTCTCCAGTTACGATTTCTAGTTTTTCTACCAACTCCAATACAGAGAGAGAGAGAGAGAGAGAGAGAGAGAGAGATTAATGGGAGACAGAAAGAGGGGGTGGTGGGGTGTTGCCGGAGGTCACGGGGAGAAGCCCTCACGTTGTAAACACTTTTTCAATATTAATTCTTAGATCACATCATCATTTTATTTTTTTATAAATTGGTATAAAAGATTATTGTTTAAAATATCTAACTCTATGTAAAAATCATAAATAAAATCCTAGACATTTTTATTCATAACATATGATATAAGTAAATATCTCATACATTTTTCAACATTAATCTGAAAATTAATGAGATAAAGGGTGTGGGGTTTGAATCCAAAGATAATGATTTAGAAGGATAATAAATTTTCATTTTGTTTGTAGTTGGTCATTATATTATTTTTTATGTTTTATTTATTTATGAATTTTTAAAAAATTTCACATCATACTCTTATGATCGCTAAGCGGTAATAGGGGTTTTGTCGATTTCCGGTTTATTTTCCAGTCAAGTATGGTTTTTTTGGTCATTTTTTTCAGTCAAACCAGATTTTCCGGCCAAGCATGAGTTCTGAACACATTTTTTAGATTTCTTGTTTCACTCTATATTATCTTTTCTCTCTTCTCTAAAACAAACCAATAAATAGTATTTAGATACACAAACAAAGATCTCGAAATCGAACTAAAATCCTTGACTATTTGAAACAATTTCATAACTCAAAAAACCCTTTGAACTTCGGATTTGGAAAATGATATTCTTGAGAAGTTCTTAAAACGATTTCAAAGCTTGGGAAGACCTTGAACTCATGATTTCAAGAGCTTCAAGATTGTGTTCTAAGGTTTATGATGTGGTTCATTTTATAATTAGGTAATGAATAGTCATTTATAAAATACTATTGTTATTTTTTTCTAAAAGGCATCATTATAAAGTAAACTGTTTAATTTTATTATTCTTAAGCATCTTTAATGAGATCTTTTTTTAAAGCTTATTATTATCTATTTTTATTCATTAAGTGGTTAATACCATTGGAGAAGATAACTTATTTATGTTCAAGATGATACCTTCAAGATTGTGTTATAAGGTTCTTAATCCCAATTTCGTAAGTAATTTGACGATGAAACTAAGCAATAATATGTTTTATGTAAAAACTGATATCTTATAAGCTAACAAATTTTGATTAATATTAGATTTTGTGACAATCAGTTTCTTGGCCTTGTTCGAGTTTTCCAAGTATTTTAAAACTGAAAAGCATAACTGTTAGGGCCAAGATCCTGAATCCCATTCAGGATCCCGGATCTTGAAGATATCTGAGGATCCCTAAATACATGTCAGGATCATGACTGATGTTATTATTATTTCTTAATATAATCTAACAACTATATGTCTTGTTTATTTCTCACATGTGCACAAATAATCAACATTAGACTCATTCTCAACAAAGAAACATTTTAATCGGGCAAAAGACCCGGAAATACCAAGTCAAACCAATGGTTCATATTTATCTGAGAGGATCTCATTAATATCGGACTTACGGTTGCTTAGACTAGACTATAAAAACACATGTACTTCGCATACTACACACAACTTGACCTACTGCAATACTTGTACTCGTTTACATACTTCCAATTCTGTAATTCACATTTAAATCAATACAATTAAACAAGGTAGGTGATCATTATCACCTCCCACGGTTTTGTGTCGGAGATCCTAACAAGGATCAAGGGATTTCCTTGTAAACCACTTGTGTAATTTTGTTCTAATTTCGATAATCATTTCAACTACAACACCACAACCTCTCATTCACTTTGGTAGATATATTGATTGATTTTTGACCAAAACTATTTGGCGTCCACCGTGAGGTTGTGGTCATCCTTGAAAATCATGTCTACACGGCTAACCTTTTCTTCTTCCTCTGTTCCCTCTATTTCGTTGAAAAATCTTTCACCTCCTCCAAGCGGACTCCCTGGTCAGAGGAAAACTTCTGATGCACCAAAGAAGAACACTCTTCCAGTTGCTCCAGGATCCCTGCGATCTCAAGATCCTCCTGCCTCAGTCTCTAATAACGAACTCTTCTCCATGATGAATACATTTGACATAGCAAGTGGCTCAGCAACAGGAAGACACCAGAACGCTACTTAAGGAAGTGGAAAGGATAAGGGGGGAGATCCGCAAACCTCAGGAGGTGACACCTTCAATCTTGCAACTAAGGATCCTGAATTTCGACAATGCACGATCCCTAGGAAAACACCCGAAATCGACAACTCCAACATCCGTTGCTACCCCCCAACGGGGAGAGCGGTCCCAAACATCCAAACTCCTGTGACCCAGGATCTTGATGACACCTTCAATACCCCTAATAACAGAAAGACTTGTAACTTCTTTAACAGTAACACTATTAATACTAACTCTATGGATCTTGATGCAAGAATAAGTCCAATCATGACCAAAGAACTCCAACAAATAAGACGAGATGATCTCATGTGTACCAAGGGTGGTCCAACCTATACTGGAAGCATCCCCTTCCAGTCACAGTATCTCAAGATTTATGTAGCACCTGGTTCCTGGTATGTATTTACTTAAGTATTTTTGCATTTTTGACCTTGGACTCGGCGAGTTGAAGGACCAACTCGCCGAGTAGAAGCGGGATGAGACGCGGGATTTAAGTGATGGACTCGTCGAGTCGGGTCCCGGACTCGATGAGTAAGCTCTGTATGGACAAAACCCTAATCTGAGGGTTTGCACCCTATTTAAACAACCTTATACAGCCTCCATCGCCCCTTTATGCTCCCAGAAACCCTCTATAGCAAACCCTAAGTGTTTTGGTGCAAGATTTAAAGCTTTTGAGTGATTTTTGGTGGTTTTGTTCACAAGGAAGAAGGAAGAGCATAGAAGGATCAAGAGGAGACTGAAGGATTCGAGTTGGTTCATCATTTGCAGTCTTTGAAAGGTATAAAGTTTGTACCTTGCTCTTTCATTTGTTAGATCCCTTTTTGGGGAGATTTAGGGCTTTTATAAGCCATTTTGGTAACCAACCATGATTGCAAACATGGTTGGGGGTCAAGACTTCTGATCTTGCACTTGGGAAGAGTCACAAGGCAGATTTGGGTTGCTTTTGCACCCAAGAAAGGTCTCATGCATCATAAGAGCTTATTTTATGTCCTTTTGAGCTCAAAGTCCCATGCATGCACGTAAAGTTTGTAACTTTACGTGCTAGAACGATTGAAGGAGCTTAGATCTACCTTTTGGTCAAGTGTTGTACATCAGAAATCGAGGATTTAGGGTGTGGATGTCATCGACTCGGCGAGTCTGTTCTTGGGACTCGACGAGTCCAAGGCTTTGAGTCCCATATCTGTTGAGGGCCAAAGAACTCAGTTGGGTGTTAGAAGGGTTGTAGCAGGACAGAAAGAGTGACCCAACGCATTGGACTTAGTTTTAGACCTGGAGTTCATGGGACTCGACGAGTGCTGAACAGACTCGGTGAGTCCAAGACAATCTCCTTATGGTTGAAAATGAACTCAACGAGTTGTTCATACAACTCGGCGAGTCGGATGAAGGTTCATTCGATGTTCATATCGAAGAGGGACTCGACGAGTTGGCGGCCCAACTCGACGAGTAGAGTCGTGGATGAGGACAGTGGAAGAGATAGGGACTCAACGAGTTGGCGGCCCAACTCGGCGAGTCGGGTCAACTGGAAGTTGACTTTGACTTTGACTTTGACTTTGACTTTGACTTTGACTTGGACTTGGTCAGGGGTAAAATGGTCATTTTACCCTAAGAGTAGTTATCAGATTCTGACTGAGTGTTTTGTGGGGATTATAGCCGGAGGATTTCCGGAGCAGCAGCAGACAGAGGTTTCCCGCACAGATTATCAGCAGCTACTCGTTCGAAGTGAGTTACCTTCCAGTAGCAGTGGGTCTACGGCCACAATGCCGGCCCACCAGTAGGAGTTGTATGTTATTTGTGATATCATCTAGGTTTGCTACTACCTGATATGTTATATGCTGGCATGATATGTTATATGTGATAGTAGTAGAGTTCGGTTGTTAGGACCGAAGGGTAGGCCAGACACCCCAGATATGTCTGACAGTATGTGATGATATGTTTGTATGCTGGCATGATATGTTATATGTGACAGTGGCAGTAGGAGGGGAATAGTCCCCAAGTTCGGTTGTTAGGACCGAAGGGTAGTTCGGACACCCCAGATATGTCTGATAGTATGTTTATGTTATGATATATGTGATAGTAGCAGTAAGGGGTGGAATAGTCCCCGAGGGTCGGTTGTTAGGACCGACGGGTAGGTCAGCACCCCATAATGGCTTGACACGGGTAGGTCGGCACCCCATAATGGTCGTACCGGGTAGGTAGGCACCCCAGAATGGGCGTATCGGGTAGGTCGGGCACCCCATAATTGCCCGGCAGTATGTACGCTATATGATTGTATGGTATGTGGTACGGTGGGGGAACTCACTAAGCTTCGTGCTTACAGTTTATAGTTTTGGTTGCAGGTACCTCTTCAGCGAAGGGGAAGGAGCCGGCGCGGTAGCATTGATTTCCGCACTGGAGATATTCTGGGATTTTACTCTGACATGATGTTGTTTTATGACTTGAGTTTTCAGACATGATATATTTATGTGGTTTTCTTATGAATGCTTTTATAATCAGCTAATTGAAATGAAATTTTTGGACTCGAAATTTGGGATGTTACAAGTTGGTATCAGAGCCCTGGTTTGAGGAATTCGGACACACCCTCGGGGGTGTCTGGACTCAAATCGAGGGATTAAAAGCTTTTTACAAGAAAATGGTTTTCTAAAATATAAGTTAAAGGATTTTTTGAGAAAGAAAGAAGTGTGTGATGTGCGCGACCGGCCGAGCTCAAGTAAGTATTCCCCAAAGTACCCGTACAAGTTTATGTTATGTTTATCAGCTTCAGTAGAACAGCATGCTAGAATAGGACTAAGGATCTAGGAATGATGCCTTATGTGCCTGCTTTATGTGTTTCAGCTTATGATAATTGCATGCTAGTATTGA